ATATATATATATTACACAATATATATTTTTGTTACGTCCACCGAATAAAAGTTCTAGTGTGTGTCGTCCTGCGTTAATATATTAATTGCGAGTGTTAATGTGTGCTGGTTTCATCCGGTACGCGGTATGTTAAGATAATCACCTTTTTTTTTTATATGCGACTGTTATTTTGTTGAAGTGTTTCCCCGACACACGCGGTTGACTCAAAGTCTTGATTTCACTCCGTATTTTGGCTAGTCCATTGTTACGACATCGAGATATATCGAATTGTTAATTTCTCGTCTGTCCTGTGAATACCGAACAATCTATATTCTTCGAGAATTTTATTAGACAGTGGACAGAACGTATAATAATAATATAGATATTATGAATCAGCAAATTACTTCGATATGAACTGGGTTAGTCGCGTAAGATAAAAGGAAAAAAAAATGAAACTAATTATCGTTGTACATGTAAAGTATCATCTACACAAGCACATACGCTTCTTTACTGTGGAAAGTGTTTTTTCGCTCTTGTGATCCGCTCGCGCGAGGCGAGCGAGGACCGCAGTGCCGATCGCGAAATGAGATTTCTTCGACATTCCTTATTTACGGGGCGAAAATCTCGAACGGCCGTTCGAATAATGAAACTGCAATAAAATCTGCGCCTCTCCTGTTCTCCGCAGAGGACGCTCAAACTTTCCACTAACGTGTCTAATATGTAATTAAGAGCCTGTACCAAATATACTCGTCGCAAACTCTCGTTCGGGATTCTCGCAGCCGCGGATACATCTTGTCATCCGAGACATAAGGATACATCGGTTGTAGTATCGTAAGGGCAGTGCGCAACAACTCTTCATGACAATATCGTTCCGCAGAAAGTCGCAATTTCCGATACACTCCGCAGCCGCCGCGCTGCTGCAACGACAACGGCGATTCTCGTGCTCTTCTCTCTTCCTCCGTTTTCATGCTCTCGTGTCCTCTCTCTCCCTCTCTCTCGATCTGTTTCGCCGAATGTTCGACGAAGCGGCACGTCATCGCATCGATCTATGTCCGATCTTCGCAGCCATTGAGCGAATCGAACCAGCAACGAACGAGTTACGCGCGTCGCGAATGTGGGAAACCGAACCGCGATCGGTGCTGCGCTACTCGGCCGAATTTTCGAAATACGCTTATTATAAATATAGGTAAAAATATACACTCGTGCTGTCACGTGCGCGCGCGCGTGTGTATGTGTGTGTGTGTGTGTGTACGATTCGTGTTTGATTCCCATTCGCCAATCGTTCGAAGCTGCATTTGATTCCTCCGTTCGAAACATCGCCGATCAATGACAAGAATATTTTTGATGCGCTCTAAAATGAAGTGAAGCGCTAAAATAAATGTGACGTGAGATCGATGCAGGTGTCTTAAAAGCAAAAAAAAAATCAAACTCAGACAGAGAGAGGCAAGAGAGGTAACCAGAGAAGATAGTATAGTTCTCGATGATCATCGAGAAATCGCGATATTAATGCTCTTCCCTTATTTATATCTTGACATGAAAACGTAAGGACGGCAGTGAGCAGGATCTGCCGATTTCTCGAATCACGAATATCACTGTACAGGATGTTTTATACCGGAATACATATATTTTCTTGTATACTTTGTGCTTATGGAAGATTGACTTTACTAAAGCTTGAAGTGTATTTTTGATTATAATCCGTCTAAAGTTAAAATTAAAATCAAAATTGTTTAGAAGCATAGCGAAAGGGTAGACACTACACATCCATACATCCTACTCGTTATATCTATATATGTGTGTGTAGCCAGAGTGTATCCTGGGTGTACACTAACAAGTAGTACATTAATCTCGAACGAACGAAACTTCCTTAGCGAAAATTTGATCGAGTATCGGTAATCCGTTATAATTGTTCGTTACAATTATTTATAAATTTTCAATGTTGGCCACTTGGTGCGACCTCGGATTTTAATTTCCGCTAAGGAAAAACATCGAATACAATTTCGCTTGCAGAATAAGATCTATGCATTTCTCTTGAAATAATATGTATACATACCATTTATTTTTCTTCGAACGAGCGTGTATGCGTGAAAGATATATATACATCGTATCCCGTGTGAATAATGCATATAAAAGAAAATATAAATATATACATATATATATCTATATATATACATATAAATATATATATTAAAGATATATGCGTGTGTGTGTGTGTGTGTGTGTGTGTGTGTGTGGTGTGT